TCTTAAAAAAAAAATGCATAAAATAACAAGTGTCAGGTGTAAACACCTGTTAAGCTCAGAGAGCATCAACCCTTAATTACAGAACTGTATTAGCCATGTTAAGAACTCTCTTGCCCTTCCCTCTGTTCCAACCTACTGGGTGTTGGTAATGGAACAGGGTATTAAAAAAGAAGTCAACCATTCCCCTTTTGTCATGGCAGGCTCAAGCTGGAGGGAAGAGGCTTCATTCCTAAAGATTTTATTATTATACTGAACATATTAATTGCTGCTCTGAGGCTGTTGAATTGACTAGCTAATATTGGTGATATTTGTGCCCCGTTTCATTCCAGGAGCAGGGAGGAATTAACTTCACTGGGTATGGTTTTTGTTTTTGTTTTTTTAAGGAACAGAGAGTGTGAGGGCTCACGGGCCCTGGGGGAGTGTGGGAGGGGCCGAAGGGGAGAGAGAATCTTCAGCAGGCTCCACACTCAGCATAGAGCCCCACTCCGGGCTCAATCTCATGACTCTGAGACCATGACCCAAGCCAAAATCAAGAGGCTGATGCTCAACTGCCTGAGCCACCCAGGCACACCATCTACTGGGTGTGTTGTAATATATGGGGGAAAATAGTAAGTTATTTGCAAACTGCAGCCTATATCTCATTTGTACAATGTACCAATTACAGTTGCTAACCAGAGTAACATATTGAGACTTATATGCCCATGGGGAAAAATTTCAACTTGGCTTTTATTTAGCATTTACTTTTTATTTGATTCTAGAAAAGCCTGGTATAGGGGTGCTTGGGTGGCTCAGTCGGTTAAGTGTCTGCCTTCAGCTCAGGTCATGATCTCGGGGTTCTGGGATGGAGCCCTGTATCAGGCTACCTGCTCAGCGGGGAGTCTGCTTCTCCCTCTGCCTCTCCCCCTACCCTGCTTGTACTCTCTCTCTCGCCAACTCTCTCTCAAATAAATAATAAATAAAATATTTTTATAAAAAATAGGGGCGGCCTGGGTGGCTCAGTCGGTTAAGCATCTGCCTTCAGTTCAGGTCATGATCCCAGGGTCCTGGGATTGAGCCCTGCATCGGGCTCCCTGCTCAGCGGGAACCTGCTTCTCCCTCTCCCTCTGCTGCTCCCCCTGCTTGTGCTCTCTCTCTGTCAAATAAATAAAATCTTTAAAAAAATAAAACAAATAAAAAATAAAATTAAGAAGCCTGACATACATTAACCAATGAAAGAAGTAGTGCTACATTTGCTGACCCAGTCTTCTTTTTTTTTTTTTTTAAAGATTTTATTTATTTATTTGAGAAAGAGAATGAGAGACAGAGAGCATGAGAGGGAAGAGGATCAGAGGGAGAAGCAGACTCCCCGCTGAGCAGGGAGCCCGATGCGGGACTCGATCCCGGGACTCCAGGATCATGACCTGAGCCGAAGGCAGTCGCCTAACCAACTGAGCCACCCAGGCGCCCCTGCTGACCCAGTCTTCTTACAAAATATCTTTACTGACCAATTTTTCAGCTCTTGGTTAAGGACCAAGATGTATCCCAAGCCAAATCCCCAAAACATGCAGAGAAGAGCTGAAAGTCATATAAAAACTTTATTAAGTACTTAGGACCTTCAGTTTTGACAAAAAGGACAACCAAATGCCCCTTCTGATGGCTCATAAGTGGAGCTTTGATAAGAGCCAATCACTGTGAATGAATAATATATCACAAAGCCCCAGATATTTGCTTAGGAGATAATACCCAAAAGGGCAAGTTTGAGAATAAGAGATTCATCACTCTTTCATTCAACAAATGTTTAGTGGGTGCCTATTATTATGCCAGGCTTTGTCCTAAGCACTAGAAATACCTCAGTAAATAAAAAATTCCTATTCTTGAGTATTTATGTGATTCCCTGTTACATATTTACAGTATCCCCATGCTGTACCCCCCAACTTTTAATTGAGTTAGCTTCACTGGGTTTCTTTTCTTTCCATTCAACAGGTTCTTTCTACAAAAGTAACACAGTAACAAGTTAATGGAAGGCAACTCCTACAGATCAATGAGAAAATAACTAATAATAATAAATTTAGAAAAGGAATTAAGTGACAATTCACTAGAGCAACATAAATTGCCAAGAAATACATGAAAAGATTTTTTTTGCTAGTAATCAAAAAATACAAATTAAAGTTTTGTTTTTTTTCTTTTTCTGCCTATCAGCTTAGTAAAGGTAAAAAGTACTCACCCTATCCAGTGCTGGTGAAGTCATAAAGAAAGTGGAACTCTCAGGCACTGTAGAATATAAATTGATATTAACTTTTTACTTTTTTGTAATTTAGCCATATCCTAATTGTAAATGCAGGTTCCCTTTGACCTGGCAATTCTGTTACTATGAATTCATCATAAGGAGGTAATCAGGAAATGTGTGTACGTATAAGAATATTCATTATAGTATTTTTATAATAGCAAAGGCTTGGGAATAATCTAATGGCTCACCCATAGTTAATTATCGTATTTCTACACAATGGAATATATGCAACTATTGAAAATAATATATATCATTACTTAATGAACATGAAAACATGGCCATAACTTTTTTGAAAAGATTTTATTTGTTTATTTATTTGAGAGAGAGCTCGCTCGCACAGGCACAAGGAGGGAAAGGGGCAGAGGGGGAGGGAAAGAGGGAGAGAATCTGAAGCAGACTCCC